TCAATGAGAAGTGCGGTATTATGACGAATAGGGTATTATGACGAACTAACAAACCATGCATTGTAACGAAGCACACATACTGAGCGCTGCAAAAAAAACTAGTAATAACATGTCATGGCTCTTTTTAAGCTAAAAACAAAAAAAAAAAGTTCATCATAATTGAACTTGCATTGCATATTTAGTACATATTTAGTACTTTAATTTGTAACAATTCATATCGTCATTAAAATAACACCTCGAGCTATTCAACTCCATTTTTATAAGAACGTTCAAGATTATAATTATTTGAGATACACAATTTCCAGAACTAAGAATTAATTTAAGCAATAATTTTATTGTTGTTTATATTCGTTAAAATAAACTTTTAGACCTCTGGAAATTGTGTGCCTCAAAATAATGCCCCGGCACTATTTGTAAGATTAATTAATTAAACGCGTTTCAGACGGGCCAATAAATTTAGACCTTTGACAATATTTATTTTATAAAGGAATTACGTGTATAAAACTATCCATTCATTTTATAATAAAAGCGAACGCTATTATTTACCACTATACTTTTTTTATTATTCATTGTATAGTAAAAGCAAACGTTGTGATTAAAGTTATTTTACATGATACTGTTATATTTTTAAGACCATATTGTAACTTCGCAATACATTAAACATGCCTCCAGTCTCTTATATTAATCGACGTAACACTATTAGTGAGGCACTTAAAGAATTAAATAATTACCCTTCTAACTCTAAACGGCCAAGTATCAATAGTGTTGCTAAAAGTTTTGGAATCCCGGAAGCTACTCTTAGACGTGCCGTAAAAAATGGCAACCCTCCTAACCGTACAGGCCCACCAACTATACTTACCAAGCATGAGGAGGATCAACTTGCAGGCTATTGTATTAACGTCCAGAAGCTTGGGTTTGGCCTAACAAGATCTGGCGTTAATCATTGTGTGATGGAAATCTTAAGATTAAGCAAGCGATCACACCCTTTTAATAATAATGGACCGGGTCATGATTGGTGGGTGCGTTTCATGAGAGATCACCCTGAGCTATCATTTCGCACTCCCCAAGAGTTATCAGAAGCACGAGCACAAAAGGCCAATGCAACAATTGTGAAAGATTATTTTGAAAAACTTGGCAAAATAATTAATGAAAATTCACTTACCGCTACACAGATTTGGAATATGGACGAAACTGGTTTCGTCCTTATTCCCAAATCTGAAAAAGTTATTGCACAAAAAGGTGCACGCCAGGTTCACAAAGTCGCACACGGAAATACTACTGAACATATTTCAGTAGTATCTACAATTTCAGCCGCTGGTTCATACATACCGCCTTTATTCATTTATAAAGGTGTTCGTGCAATCCCCGGTCTATTAGATGGCGCACCTCCTGGAGCTGTTATGGGTTTTACAGATTCTGGGTACATGAGAGAAGATCTTTTTCAAATGTACCTAAACCATTTTATTAATTCCATCCCACCTATTCGACCAGTCCTATTGATACTTGATGGCCACAAAAGTCACATTAACTATATGAGTGTAGACTTTTGTCGCCAAAATAATATTCTTCTCTTTGCTCTACTACCTCATACGACGCATGTTTTACAACCATCCGAGATTCCATTTGTGAAATTAAAAAAAGGATTTAGTAAAGAATGTGATAAGTATCATACTAATAACGGTAAAATAGTAACTAAGCATACCTTCGCGAAGATTCTCGGTCCCGTTTTTATTGAGGCCTATACACCACTAGCAATTTGCAATGCCTACAGAACCACTGGCATATGGCCATTTAATCCTAGTGCGATTAGTGTTGATCGTTTAGACCCTTCTTTATTAACTGAACAATTTAATGAACCCACCAACCCACCTTTAATTTCGCCATTACTTGCTCAATCAAATCATTTTCATTTTACTCGCCTAAATGCTAATAATTTAAAGGAAGAACATATTACACTTAAAAATGAAAATGATTTGTTAAGATCTCAGGTTAAGAAACTAAGTGAGGAACTGAAAACTTATAAGAACCCTGGGACATGTGCATTACGTTTAGCACTCAAGTATCCAGTTTCTCAAGCTCAAAATTCTCAAGCTCAAAATTCTCAAGTTACACCTGATCATGAAAGATCTGAAGACCAGCCTGAGCTTATGTCGTCCCTGCCTAAAAAAAAGAGAAAGACACTTCCATTTGCGCGGCTTTTAACTGAAGAGGAAAGTTGGCATCAGTTAAATGAGTTGAATGAGGAAGCAGAACGAAAAGCTGAAGAAATAAAGCGAAAAAAAGAGGCGGCGGCCCAAAAAAAAGAAGCAGTGGCCCAAAGAAAAGAAGCAGCAGCCAAAAAAAAAGAAGTGGCAGCCAAAAAAAAAGAGGCACTAGCTAAAAAAAAGGAAGCAGCCGCTCAAAAAAAAGGCGGTGCAACGACTAATTCTAACACTAAAAGAAAATCGGGTTAAAAAAATTTTTTTTTTATAATTAAATTGAATTCGTCAGAATACCCCTTTCGTTCGAAATTTTAAATTTATAATGCGTTGCACATGATGATGATCTTTTAATTAATTCTGATTTGTCTTTCGCTTTTTTTTATAGTGGCTCTATTTTTGAATGCAGTGTAAATCAATGTGTATAAATATTTAAAGGTTTATACAGGTTAGTAAAAAGTTTTTATAGTAAAAACCTTAACTTC